CCGAACAGCTCAGTGGTAACCTCTCTGACTGCAGCACTGGGTGATGTGGGTTCGAAGCTCGGAAGGGACATGAGTTCCTTCAAAGTTGCAGATACTCCTTACTGACTTGTGAGTGCCGACTAGCACGAAACCTAGGTCCAAGGCTTCCTGACGATTGCCATCAACTATCTAATAGGATAATTCTGCTGATCATTCAGCCAGTTGAGCCGGAATTCATTGACCCATGAATTCTGACCTCTGCAAATTTGTGATTTTAGCACTACCACAAGTCAGTGTCACCAGCGAGTACTTGTCATCACACCCAACTTGGTGGATTCCAGTGGGTATGACTTCTCACTACAACTCCATGCAACTTCATCACGTAGCCAATCAATAGTGATCATTAGATAAATTTTAAGAGTCAGATTTTTAAAAATTTCTATCGAAAATGTTCAATCATTATAAGTTGTTTACTAATCTATATTGAATGCCAATTTTTAGTGGCTTGAATCATCTTCATTTATTGCAAACGTTTTAGTGTTGTTTATGGTCTTTCACATAATAAATAAAGTTCATGCCGGTATATACTACTCATTTAATTAAGAGTAATATCGGGAATAAATATATAAAAGTGTGTTTAAATACAATACAGAATTTTAAGCAAGTTTTTTATTGCAAGCTATTTACTCCTCGTGTAGATTGTTTAAATAATACAACAAATGATAATATATCAATGTCAGGCACATTGTCTTTTCTGAGGCATGCTCCAATAATCTACCACGGTAATCCTCCATTTCTGTTAGAAAATTTGTAGCATTAGGTTAAATCCTATTTGAAAGTGTGCCTGAGTATACATTGCGACTTTTAGTCATAGTTATATAGTTAAAACAATATGAAACTAAGTAAACACGTTGCATTTAGGTGGATAGAAAGTTTAGGTAGCTCAGTGATTAAAACAAGCCGATATATTTATGATAAATCTTGCCACTTATTATTCATTATTACAAGACATCAGCGTAACAAACAATTTAGGTGGTTTCTTACTTGTAAAGGATATGTAGGCAAGTTGTGCTTGTTGATATAATAGCTAGTGATAGAAAGAACGCTTGACTTGCTAATTTCCTCTTCCATTTTAGAAGTCGTCAGCGGGATGCACCTGCATCCCCTAATGAGCAGTGATAGTAATCCTGTATTGTATTTCATATTGGCTGTGCGATTTTTAACTCTTATTCCTTAGCTATAAATAACTCAGGCGAATTTATCATGTGTAGTATGGAATACGTGCAGCCTTTATAGTGTATGATTAGATACACACATACTCAATTCAGCCTGCTATTACCAATATACTATTCACTAGCTTACTTTCATTAATTAGAAGCGTAAAAATCTCTTGCTGGTGGTAATCAAAACATGTGCAAATCTTTTTTTTCTTTTACCTTTTTTACAAATTATTTTTAGTAAATACTATGTGAATGCTTTACTGTTTCTATAAATACCCGCCACATCAATTCACAGTAAGATGCACGTGAATGACTTAGTATAATGTTAACTTCAAGTGTGCACATCACTAGTGAAAAGTTATTTATGTTGTTGTTACATGTGTAAGAAGAATGATGATTTCGTGTAAAAAGAGGTGGTTGCATATGTGTTTTCCTGTCTCGCTATTTCTGTCTCTCTCTCCCTCACACTTGTAGATGATACACATCAGTAGTATCTATCTAATAAAAAAAAAGCTGCTACACCGAATTTTCTACCCTAGACACAGAAGAAGAAGAACAGAAAATGTTTGTTTAAAAAAAAAGAAGTGATATTTGGACCTGTTAGAAAACGTAAAGATCTAGTTAACTTGTTCATGTGATGTTTCCGAGATGACGTAGAAAAAACCAACTCAAAGACTTTAAAAAATCAATCTATTCAAGTCTTTGTGTAACATATGTGATTTTTTCAATATATCCTTATTTTTTTACCTAAAAGTGACACACACAAACACACAAGTTGAACGGAAAAGAAAAATTTCAGAAGATTTGCATTACATGGATGATTCTTGTAGGGTGTCACAAGAAATCGAAGATCTGAAGGCGAAAATCAACAAGTTGATAAAGGAGACTAGTAACTAAAACAGGAGTTCAAGTGAACACAGAGAAGGCCCCAGGTGATGAAGATACCCAGCAACCAACAACATTAAGTACAATTCAGTGTCAATGGTAGAAATCTGAAGGAAGTTACCCCTTTCCTTTATTTGGCTCTGCAGCATTGTTTCAACTGCAGTCAGTCAACACGTATGAGGGTATCAAAGCCAGTCAGGATCAGGAAGGCAAGAGTGACCTTGAAATCAGTGTGGAAATCTGCCTCACTCAGTAGAAGAAATAAAAGTCAGATTTTCGACACTATTGTGTCAAGTCAGTCAGTGATTCCATATATAATTCGGAGGCCTGACTCTTGTATCACTAAAAGCATTTATAGCAGACTGCTAAGTTTCAACAGCAGCTTTCTTCACTGGTTCAATATTCCAGGTGAGATGAACAGAAAGGATAGACTACAATGAACTGTGACAACGAAACAGTGGAAAGGAAATGGAGATGGGCTGGAAACATGCTGCTAGTCAAGCCCTCAAGAGGATCATGACTGAAAATTGACGAGTCATCCATCCAGTCAGAAGATGATATGGTCGAGGAGAAAATAAAAATTTAAAGGCAGTCAAGAAGGCAGCTAAATAGGACTGCAGAAAAAGAAATGGAGATGTGCTTCTGAAAACAAGTGCTCTAGCCGGAACCTAATGTAATCATAATAATTATGTAGATAAGAGACTAACTAGTGAATGAGAGAAGATTCTTTTCCATACATTTTTCACAGGCCTCTACAGTCATACATCTATGATAGTTTAAGGATAATGGTTATTGGATCTTGAATTACACAGAACAATTGATATTAACAGATTACGGCTGAAAAAATATGTATGCGATAATATGTATAAATACAACACTAAATTGGCTATCAGTTAAATTAGGGAAAGATGATGTCAAACTTATTAATTTATAGATGTCACAATATACCAAGGTAGCAATAATGGCTGAACCTGTTTCACGTGTACACAGGGTCCCATTGTTCCAAGGGAATTGCACTGGCCTCTGCTGTCTGGAGTATTTGGTATCTGAAGACATTTGACAATTCATTCGGCGCTCAATGGATGACAGAGAAAGATTCTTAGGTTATGGATTCATGATATGATTGCATCAGATGATCTAATACCGAACGATATATGGTTTTTACTACACCTTTATGAAGCCACATTGATATGTGATCTCCAGAATAGAAAATCAGGTTTCTGGAGGAAAAGTTAAGAAGACTAGCTCCACAACCTCGGTTGAATTGCTAGGTACAAAGAGAATGGTTAACCTGTGTACTTTGTCTTTCAGTTTCGGAATCACGATCGGTTGTATAGAAAATATGAGTTGCAGCTTATGAGCATTAAAAGTTATATGTATTTCAAATAAAGTTTTTGAAACGATAAATTAATGTACTCTGTACGAGCGTTCACATTTTCTCTACGATATTATTTAGAAAGAAATCAGCTAAAAGGATGAATCTTAGTGAGCTTCCCTGAAAGAAGAAAAGAATGTCTCTAACCGTTCACTGACTCATGCGTTGAATTACTTACTAATTATTTTTTGACTTTAATCTACATCGGAACGAATCAACTTAAAACGAAATAAGATACTTCTGCCGTTTCTTTAGTTTATAAGTATTTCATATTTGAAATATTTCCACTTGCTCGTAACCTTGATTACTAGGTCAAATTTATACGTACAGATGATGCTAATTGTTGGTAAAAACTTTTTGAAGTGCAATTGATTGACTGATAGCCAAAATGTTATCTATTCAGCAAAATGTGCGGCATTTGGAAGCACAACAGCACTATTTACTGTGCAGTTCGGTTTAAAGATGCAAAGATATTTTGATTGGATGTTAGATAGTAACCCACTGTCACACATCTAGTCCATCGTTCGGTGCAGACTGGGTGACTTGGATTTAAACCTCATAAGAGGTATGAGTTTTCTCACGATTGCAGATACAACATGCTGACGAGTGCCAGCAAGCACGAAACCTAGGTCCAAGGCTTCCTGCCGACTGCCTCCAACCATCTAATGCCATCAAATCAATGTAAACCGTGATGGCGAGCTAGCTAGAATGGTGGTCACATTACAACCGGACGGATAGAATTCAGTCTGCACCAAAGAGAGGAATAGACACATCACACTAGTTATTATTATTATTGTATCCTTTAGTTCCTAGAGGAACATAGGGCTTCAGCTGCGCACCTCCACTGCCTTCGGTTTTCTGACAACTTTTTCACCCTGCTCCAGGTCTGTCCACATGCTTTCATCTCCTCCTCGCAGGATCTCCTCCAAGTCACCCTTGGACGACCAACTCGCCGCCTCCCTTTCGGGTTCCATTCTAGGGCTTGTCTAGTGATGTCACTTGATGGTTTTCTCAGCGTATGGCCAATCCATCTCCACTTGTTCCTGCCTATTTGTTTCACAATCGGTTCCTGATTGGTTCGCTCCCAGAGATCCCTGTTGCTGATCTTTTCTGGCCATCTGATCTTGAGTATTGAGCGGAGACAGCTGTTAATGAAGGTTTGAAGTTTGTTTGAGATGCTCTTTATGACTCGCCAAGTCTCTGATCCGTATAGTAGCACTGACTTCACACACTTCACACTAGTTACTAGTGTCAAATCAAAACATATTCACTTCGCCAGTTATCATCTCCAGTAAAACTTATTACATCCTGACTAAGTAAACAGATCCAGAGTCTCTATTTTAAAGTTGTATTTTAGGATATTTTGTTGCATATTTTTGAAGAAGATGTAATTTCAGGAGTAGATTTGGAATTCATTTTGTATCAGATGAATTATTGTATTGAAGTAATCCATATTTCATATACCAAGTGTGTTTAAACGAAATAGAAAAGAAATGATCATAAGTAAATAAATAAGTCAAAGTTTCACAAAAATTACTAACCTTCAGATGTACCACTGAAAGCAACATGACCACTTCCCTTCATTTGATTTTTACGATCATTTGTAGGATCATTGAAATTTGTATGTTTTCCACGTTGTTGTTGTTTGCCATCTGTGTCATTGTTTTGCCGTGAAAGATTAGTATGACCTTCAATCTGTGTCATTTCATTTGCATCGATTAAATCTGCCGGAGGTGGTGGAGGCGATGTTGATCCATCACCTTCAGTTGCACCCAACAGAGTGAATATAATACCTGCTTGAGAATTAACGCCAACAGCTGTGACCACCATTTTTCCAGAACCTTCCATAACATGTGTACCTGTGGGAAGATATAAACATTTTGTAATATTTATTTTGATTATTCAAATAAGCTTTAAAGGAAGTGTAGAATTTAAAAAACAAGGATCTATTTTCAAAAACTAAAAGTGTGCACACCACATGTATTTACCTTTGATATGTATTATGAATTTATGAATTATCAAAACAATGTAGGCAAACCTATTTGAGAAGTGTGAAATAAGATACACAATAGTATTTTTTTTTCCTTCACGTTCCCAGTGGAACATAGAGCCTCAAGCTAGTGACTTGAAGTTTCTGTAGCAGTCTTTATTTTTTACAGGATGGGATTGCTAGCCTCATTCCCAACCTTTCCTCTTTACCAGCATTATCTCTGGCACAGCAAGGTAAAGGAGTGCGGCGGCTGGGAGTCGAACTCTGGACCATGTGCATGGTCGACGAGCGTCCCAACCGCTATACCACTGACGCATCACACAATAGTATCTGATTGGTTATCTTCTATGCTCTTAAAGCCTATAGTTTAAGCATTTTGTAACTGGTACATCTATTATAACACAAAAATTTCAGAGCCCTATACTTTTTATGAAGGTGCTAGATAAACAAAATGTTAGAATGGCTAAAGAAATTCTCACTATCTCTATGTACGATGACAATAGGGATAATGCAAAACCTTAAGCAGTTAAAAAATTCGAATTCAGCACAGAAGTAAATCAGTTCATATTGTTGCACTTTATAAAAACACGCACCCACGAAAAAGAGAAGAAATGATAAAGCCTGTATACAGTAGAGATCGAGTAACCAACTTATTAAAAGTTGATGAAAGTCCTTACACCTTTTAGAACAATAAATAATCCTCATTTATGTGCCCAAATGAGTAGGTTTGAGCAATTTTAACGTCAGTTTGCAGCATTTAATATTTCAAAACTCCAGTATAAAATAAAATAACTTCCTTGATTTGTATCATGTTTTAGTTTGATGTCTACTACCAACTCTGTTCCACTAAGTGTTATGATGACTACTGTTGAGGTCAAAAGCTAGTCACACGACTCACCAGGCATCTAAATCTACCTGAGATAATCAATAAAACGAAGACGGATCTAAGATTCTCCACTTTCAAATGTCATTATTTAATAATTATGAGAGAAAAATCCCAAGAAACGCTGTTTATTAAACATTATTTTGACGACTACTCACATATGTCACAGTCACTAAAACTGATATAAATTAGAAAATACAGAATAAACCTTTTGTATTTGTACAGAGATTTTCTGAGAACACACCTTTAAAAAATAATAAAGGCTCACGTTAGAAGCATTGCCTACAAAACATTAATACAAAACACAGAGTGCTTCAGAGCTTAATTAGTAAGACACATTACCAGCTAAACAAATATTATTGACTTCAATAAAAATGAAGAATAAGGATTGATGGTTGTTTTTTTTCTATGCGCAAAAATCAGTTAATTACTTAAAATGTTTTGTTGAAAACAACTAAAATTAAAATAATAAAAATGTACATTCTGATCATATTTGTGATTTAACAGCTGTGCGAAATAATAATTGACAGGTGTCTTTTTAACAAATTTGGTGCCTTTTTAACAAACTTTGGTGCCTTTTTGCTTTAATCCAGTTTACATATTGAACTTGTGGCATTATATATATATATATATATATAAACCTGACTGATAGAATTCAGTCTGCATTAAACAAAGGACTAGACACATTACACTAGTTATTAGCGTCCAATCCAATCCAGTCCTGCAGGAAGTCAGTCACGAGCCCAAACAGCTCAGTGGTAATCTCTCTGACTGCAGCACTGGGTGACGTGGGTTCGAATCTCAGAAAGGACATGAGTTCCTTCAAGGTTGCAGATACACCTTACTGACTAGTGAGTGCCGACTAGCACGAAACCTATTCCCAGTTGGGCTTCCTACCGATTGTCTCCCACCATGATGGTGAGCCACCTAGAATACTGGCCACATTGTAAACCTGACTGACAGAACTCAGTTTGCACCAAACAAAGGACTAGACATATCACACTAATTAGCCGTGTCCACTGATGATATATATATATATAATCATCGGCTGTATCACTCTATTAACACCACTAATATGGCTAGTGTCTGATGTATACTGACAGAATCAAGTGCATTTTTTCTGATAGTTGGTCATGTGAATACAACACTTAATAAAATTATATTAAACTAAGCCCCTATTTGAATCATCATTCACTGACAATGATTTGTTTTTTGGTAGACACATTTAAATATTGTAGTTTTATTTGCTTTTGTTTTTTAGGAGAATAAATTCATGGAGAGAATGACAGAAACACAGGGAGACAAAGATGATATGCCTATTGCATGAATGACATATATATATATATATATATATATATATATTGTAGCTAAACTACCTTGTTAGTTTGCTTAGACTATATAGGGTTTAATCAGTAACTATGGCTATTTATTTGTGTCTATCTAATCATCTATAGAAGAGTATAAAGAACAAAACAGAAAAGAGAAAAAAACTGATTTCACTCTGTTTTTCCTAAGAAAAATAGAATACAGTTTTCCAACTACTTTCTGTAGGACTTGAGATTTATTCCAACGAGATGAATGAGATTATGATGGGAGGAGAACTGCTACGAAGACAGGGAGAGAGAGAGGGGGAGAAATATTGATTAATTTTGGTTTGGGTATTGCATACTTTTCCTTTCACTTGTCATTCTACAGTTATACGACATAGGGAAACGATGTTTTTGAGCTATGGGCTATGATAACTATTTTATAAAAATGTAATCAAAAAGAATACTAACAATTGCATATTTTGAGATGTGCTATTGCCCTGAGTTTATCTTCATTGATTCAGAGTAAAACATAAAGCTTCAATAACACATCTCCATTTCACCCTCTTCTCTACAGCCGCCCTCAGCTGGCTACACGATTTCCCATAGGCTCTTATCTCCTCGTCATATGACCTCTTCCACGTTACCCTAGAACATCCAATTCGTCGTTTCTCATCGACATTCCACTTCAGAGCTCTCATTGCATATTATGTCATTCAACGACCTTCTTAGCGTGTTTCCAATCCATCTCTATAATCTTCTACATGTTCGTTAGGCGATAGGTACCTGGTTGGTTTACTGTCAGAGTCCCCTGTTGCTAATCCTTCCCAGTTGGCCATTTAATTCTCACTAACGAGTCAGAAAAGACGTTTGTTGATAAACCTCTGGAGTCTGTTACACATGGAAGAATTGACTTGACACTAGTGTGAAAAATCCTATTTCCCTTTACTTATTTTTAGTGCAGAAGATTCTTAGACTTATTTCAGGTTAGTGAAGGCTTCCCTTGCATTTCCCATTCCGACTGTATGTGATTGAAACAGTGCTGCCTGGATAAGTGAAAGGGTGACTTCCTTCAAACTTCACCTGCTGATAGTGACTGGTGTTTGTTAATGTTTTTGGTTATGTATCTTCGTCTCTTTGTGTCTTCTTTATGTTCACGTGGCAACTCGAACTGCTGCACTTCGGTGCCAAGTTCTATGTTGAATCCAGACAGACAGACAGACATTTAAAGTCCTGTCTTCACTGCAGGTCACTTCTGCGACATTACTAGTCTTCACATAAGTAGTATAAGCAGACATGTTTAAGTTTTTCCTTCGTTTGTAAAAACAAAAGCATAAAATATGTTTATCTGTAGGCATTCATGTAGTAAAAAGAATGAAAAATGTAGTCATTCATTCAGAATCAGATAGGCTTTCTTAGGGTTTCTGCATGAAAACTTTCCCTCAATTTATAACAGGATGAAGCTATCAATTTTTATGGAATTATTTTATTGGAAAAATGTTCTATAACTAGTCGTCAACCTGATGGTAGGTAACTTCAATTTGGACTGGCAGCTAATTCACTTCTTATTTAAGAATAATTTTCAGTTTGCTAAATTTCAAATATACATACGTCTATTTGATTATTACTCAACTTTATCTATGGTGTGAATGAACCAGGTGTCTATCACCCAACAAATATGCAAAAGGGAGTGGAAACCTAATGGACACACATGGAGAAGATTGTTAAGTGATATCATGTGCAGTGCAAGCCTTCGACTGAAACTTGTCTGTGAAAAGAAAAGTTGGATGTTACTCTGAAGTTCAGATGTAGGAGATTGTATGGGGAGAAATTGAAATCTTATGAACAAAATCTTGGGGCCAGATTTAGAAGACTGCGGAAAACATGGAGAATTGAAGAAGTCCCGCTGAAGCCCTTTGCTGCGTTCTGAACTCAACACAATAATATTTTAGCAATAAAAGGCTAAACCTGAACTTCAAAGAGCTGTAATCTAGAGCAAAAACGAGTGTAACACTAATGATTTCTTCAGGAATATTTAATGACTACAATCATTCGTGCTTTTATCTTGAGAAAACGTATGAAATGAAGTTATTTCATCTTACTTTATTAGATCGTAGTTCAGCGAGAAGAAATGCTTGTATATTGTGCTTCGATAGTAAATTAGTAAGCGTGTTCATAAGACGGAAGCCCATACTGGGGTAAGGCGGCCTGTTTAAAACTTGAGCTGCCGAAAACCTCAATCAGTATACTGCACATAGTTTCTCCTACTAACGTTCAGTTTAAATCTGGTAAATATGACTTTTAATAAGGTTGTTTACTCTGGCATGTGTTTAAAACATTTACAATTTGTGGTTTCTCAAGTTCCTAATTAACATGAAAAAAAAGCAGCATCCTCGATGGCAGTTTATTGCAGTACATGAGATGACCGTTCTTGAATGGTGTCCTCGGTACACAAAATGTACTTCTGAACTTTTTATAATTGGTATTCAACAAAATATCGTATATTCCTCGAAGGAAAAGGAGATATCACAATAGATAGAACTGTTTCACACGATCTACTGTCAATTAATATTTTAGTCGGAGATACTGGACGACGAGAAAATATCATGCAATAAACTCTACTGAAAATTCTGTACATTTATATAGACATTGTTTGAGAATGAAGCTATTACTATTATT